ATATAACTAATTATTAGTTAATGAACTTTCAACTGTTTTGTCCCATTCTATCTTCAATCTATTTCTTTCCAGTCTTCATGCAAGTGTAGCTACAAGTCTACTGTTTGAACTTTTCCTTAGTCATATTCATTTTTATTAAACTATTATGTTTTCTTGTTTTTCTTCGGATGTCTCTTCTTAGGAAATTGACCCATTTCTTAGACAACGAAATTCACTTGTCCTTTTAGGCTACCTTAGATTGACTTCCCATTTTTGTCTTTTAAGTTCTATTCGTCCTACTGAGTTTTTTAAAAAAAGATTTAATACTTTTTTTGTGTTTACACAAGCTTTTTTATATTCTTAGTCACTCAGCTACAACGTAGGACCAGGCACTTATGTGCATCGGTCCAAGTTATCATACCTCATTAGCACAACAAGATGAACCCCGGATTCATAGTAGTTAATTTAATGGTGGTAATATATAAAAGGTTGCTTATAAGGATATAGTACAGAAAGGAAGAATTAGTTCGTAGAAAGAAAGATATGAAGTTTAAGGGAAGACAGAAAGTGTATACACCTATGCCCTTTTGATCGATTGTGAGCCGTGTCACCAAGAGTCTCCAACCATTGGTTACGATAGTCACGCAGACTACAACCAAATAGTCTGCGTCTACTAACATGGCTCAAACCAGAAGCTAATGACTTCTAGCACTGATGCCACGTTTTGGTTTGGCTGCACCTAGCTTCCTTCCAACCATCCCCAACACTAGTGAGCATTGCATGTCGTGGTAATCGGTGTTCAGCCAGACGTAGATTTGTTCATTTCATGAAAATGAAAATACTTGTCTTAACCACAAATCCACATTAATGTTTGAATACTCTTGATTGTTATATTTGAATATGTCCTGTCTGAGGTTATCTGTAACATTTTCAATTAATGTATATCGTATCAATCACTTTCGGTCATTTTTACATTTGTTTAGTGAATTATTAAATAATAAATAATGTATACTTTTAATTAGTGATTTCATTTCAAGTTATAGCTTTCACTATATTGATTCTTGTCATTTAATATATTGGTCTGTACTACACTAACTTGTCATAACAGACAGTGACAAATACGTAAAATGAAAACTTCAAATGATATTCTTACTAATGCAATTAAATTGAAGTATATTATAAAAGCATTTTTCTTTTTTCTTGTTTGCCGCAATAAAATCAGAAATTTATTTTTGGTACTATCAAGATAACTATATACATATCATACATTAGGCACATCGTATTGAGGTCAGTGTATAAATTGTTCCAAAATCCATAATGTTTACAAGTTTGTTTATTCTCCAAATGGATATTGATCAATATGTCGACATATTTATATATAGATTCATATATGGTTCCACACTAATTTGCATTAATATTTATTATAATTTCTCATTGTAAATGAACAAACATTATTGTATTAAAGATAATATATATCTCTAAATAAGTGACTATTATTTCAATCAAGGTTATTTACGAATAGTTAGTAAAATGTCATAAAGATGCATTGATTGTATGGAGTGGGATAGTTAAGGTATTCGACTTTTAATTAAATTAGATTGTTGTACAATAATTACCCAACATCAATGATTGGAGAGACCAGTATTGTTCACAATTGGACAAAATGCTTTCACATTTTATCTTGTCTTAGATCTTCTGTTCTACTATTCCTTCATACACGGCTTTTCTTTCTGTTTTTTTTCTAAACTATATCCGCAAAGTTTAGTCTTTCGCATTACCATCGCAGCTATTTAAATTCCTTTTATGCTACCCCTTTTGTTAAATTCACTCCATTGTGTTGTGATCATTTGGGCTCATGTTTATAACTGACTGACTAATCTACCACTTTTCATAGATATATTCAATGTTCTCACATAAACGCTTCGAGCTACTTATTTAGAGAAATACATGCACAATCTTTCATTAATATCGTATTTTCTTTTTTTCCTTGATTTATTACTTTGTATAATTATCAAAAAAGTTCAAGTTATCCTGTTGATATTCTCAATTGAATTTTGAACAGTCGTCGACATATGTTCATCCGAATCGAATCGCCGCTAACAGTGGATTACAAGATTTTGTTTTTGTCCTATTTTGGACTCGTCAATAAGATACACTTCTACCCCAATGTTGATGTTCACAACGAACTCGAATCCGTTGCATTTCACCTCAAACTCCAAATACGTTATCCACTGAGCTACTGAGTTTAAATATCCACTAATTCGTGTAATGGTTCTATGTTAAAATGATGACTGACCAACTGACTGATATTAGAACTACGACTCAAACCACACTTTAATCATTCTTGTTCATTCAGTTATATTGTATCACTAACTGTCAGATGCAATATGTGTACATGAATTTGAAACAGATTATTGAATTACATTCAATCAATCATCTATTTATATTTTACGTTTTTTCTACGTATGGGAGTTTATCGTCTACTATTTGTTCATGTATAATTGGAATAATTTGAAAATAGTAACTAGATTTGATTCTCCACAAACGTTTAAAAGGATTCGTTTATGTTTACAGTATGTTTTTATACCAAACAATGTACTATCGTGATAAACGTCTCTTTGTTGTATGAGCAGTCGGAACCCCTCATGAAAGTCTTTGGTGGTTCCAAATATGCTGAAAATACATCTAATTAGCGTTCAGTAGAAATTTTTAAGAGGATTCTAAAAACCAACAGATTACTTATTATCCCGTTTGGATAATTACCGATTACAACCTCATCATCACATATAAACCTTGGGAGTGAAATTTCCTTCATATTTTCCACCCTTCATTTTCTTGTTTCAGTTCGAAGACTAGAAGATTTCTAGGCACTAGAAAACATTCATGAAGTCAGTGTCTAAGAGCTTAAGTACCAAATATATCAATAAGTACACGTTATATTTTACATTGCTACTTTCATACCCAACTACTCAGTTTATCTCATATAATAATCTCTCCATATTTTTTTATCAAAAATAATTTTCATTTCATCATTTATGATTATATGAACTAAAAATAGAAGAGTCACCCTTTAAGAAGATCAATTTCTCAGTATTGCCTATTTATGAGTATATTATTGTCAGTAAAATGAAAGACAGATGTTTTCCTACTGAAGTAAAATTATTATTCATTGTCTTTTTATACATCGATACAGCTTAGTATATAAACTAAAAGTTTAGACTTATGTCAACACCGATTTTGAAAAGACAAGCTGTTGGTTCCAACAAACTAACTTCCTACTAATAAGCCCTACGATACTAAACGAATTTGATTTAATTACAGCTCTTTACAAAGAGAATATATAATCTCTGACAGATTATCAGGTTGATATACTAAGATCTTTTCAAATCATCAGTCAACACCCAAACTCCATTTTTCTTAAATTTTCCGAAGCTATAACTAAACGTTTCAAGCTGGATTTATTTACCCAAAAATTAAGCAGTCACAAACCTTTCCTTATCATTGTTACTTAATCGTCAGTTTCTTATATCATTCTTGTAATTCTCTTATTTTGATTGCACCACTTCTTTCAAATTCAGAATTTTATTTCCAACCGACTGATCTCAACTCATTCCTATTTGTTATTAACTTATGTTTAATTACTCCATCACATATACAGTTGATTTCTTCCTAGTTCTATGATCCCTTGTTACTATGTTCGATGATCCAGAATCTTCTCTCGCATTTTATGTTTACACCACTCTATAATTCTCAAAATTTCATTGCATTTACTCATATCATCACTATCCACAAAGAAAGAGTGGAATTGGAAGAAGTTGGTCCTAAAAGCCCACACTGCCTTATCCCACTGATTTCCGCCTCCGATGGTAAGGTCTTGATAAGTACGGAACTAGCGCAAAAAGGTCGTATGTGACAGGCCTCAATCAGTTGTCCCTTGGGGATGTTATTCTGTCCAATTATTTTTTCTTACTCTCTCCAAGATCATAATAATGGCAACTAATTATTTGATATGTTCGTTTTGTTTCTTATCATTGTACTTCGTATTTTTTTATTGAAGGCATTCGTTATTGAGTAGTGTATTCACATTTTCGTTACTGAGTTAAATTGTTAAATATGAACTATTTATTGTATGTAACGCAGTCAGTTGTAAATTCATGTACACATATTACATATGACAGTAATTGATGATACTATATAACTGACTGAACTAAAGTGATTAACGCGGGGTTCGAATCGCCATTCTAAGGTCAATTAGTCATCAATGTAAAGTCTAGCACGGACAGGTTCTCTAACGTTGCGGTTAATGATATTTTTGGAAACTAATATTTGATATTTGTGTCACTTTATTATTTGTTCACAAATTTCTTAGTGATAATAGTAATAATAATATTGTACTTTTATATGACAAATTTATACATTTATGTTCTTCGATGATTGAATGTAGTCAACAGATAACCCTGAATTTGGGTTTTGTGTGCTAGTTGGCACTCATCAACAAGGTGTACCTGAGAACTTGGTAAATTGATGTTCTCTAATCCATTCGAACCTTGATCACTCAGTACCTCAGTCCATAGCATTACCAATGAATTATTCTGACTACCTGAGGCTTCCTGTATGACTGAGTTATTTACATTAATTGATTACTAATTAAGGACTAATATCATATTTGTCTGCTCCTTAGTGGTGGTTGAATTTTATTGACTAATTCTACTTTCATCCATTTAACATAAATCTCAGTGCACTCAATTTCGAGTTACTGAGTCTAGTTGCTATATTTCAACGTGATCGATACAATTCGACCAAAACCAAGGAAATTCTAGACAAACATGATACTGGCCATTACTTAATAACTCATCAATGTATATATTATGATTAGTTTTCTAATGTTGTAATACGTTTAACATATCGCTCATGTGCAATTACCTAGTAGAAAATGCTGATTGTTTGTAGTATATTGAATTTATTCTATTTCAGCAATAAATAATCAGATTGTTTTCTTAAATCCTATCTTATTAATTTAGCGTTTCCCTACTAATGTACGAAAATATCAACTTGATCGAGTTATAGCCCGGTTTGATTTCGAGACCAAAGGTGCCGGTGAATTATCTTTACATCGTGGTGATGTTATCGAAGTGATTAATCGTAATGATGAAAATTGGTGGCGTGGTCGTACATCCGATGGACGATGTGGCCTATTTCCATCAAATTTTGTAGATGATTTACCTTCAGTCATATAAATAAATTTTCAGTAAAATATTGCTTTAGAAACTAGTAAGTAACTAATCAATCAATCATTCACAAATGTTGCCTCGTTAACTTTCTTTTATACTTTAAAATCTTTCTATGTATGTGTGTGTGAGTGTTTGGGCATAAGCATCCCTAGTTTCTGTAAACATATACATGTAGCTCTCTTTTTCTCTCCGTTTATCTTACTGACAAGGATTTAACCTCGTTCAGCTTTGTATTCATATACTCCTTTCCAATAGCTATACATACATTTATCATATTAATTATCGTGAAAAAGAAAGAATAGATGAACAACACGTGCATATAATTTACATAATAGAGCACAATAAACCTCTTTGCTTGTTTGTTTGTTTTATATACTGTTCTCTGTCCAATTTCTTTGTGTCTTTTTTTCTTCAAATATTGATTTATCTTCTTAAAATCTAATGGAAAATATAAGAAGAACAAATCAAGTAAATATTTACAAATAAAAATGTTATTAGCATATTAAGTACTATAATAATTTATTTCAATAACATTTAATGTTTTTCACTAGTTGTTGGGGCTTCTTATTTGCTCGCCTTGATTTATTATTATTACTATTATTAGACATTGAATTCGAATAATTACGTCATCAGCGAACAATTTTCTGTCTTAACTGAATGTATAAATTCTCTTATTGATTCTGTGTTCTGCCTTGATGTTGAATAGTAACTATTAATCAAAACAGGATATTTTCCTTTGAGTTGATCCAACTATATATTTATATATAAACGGATAGATGTTGTCTGTGAAACTCGTCGTCTATTTTACTGTCATTATTGCTATTTCTTCGTATTGCATTGTTTGTTGTTTCTCTCCGAGTCTTTGTTATTTTCTTACTCATACTACAATATTACTATTATTAGTATTATAGATATTCTTAACTGTGCAATACACCTTAATCAATCATTACGCATGTACGCACCATTCATCATCACACTTGCTGCCATTTTTGCTTATTTTGTACCTCCTCTTTCTTTTCCTTTCTTTCACTAGTGTATACCTTCATTGTCCTGTTATTTTATTTTGTCCCATTTTGTTGTCGTTGCCATTGTATGGGGTAACCGTTGCCACTCATATCTTTTTTCCGATGTACACTGATCAGTCCATATGGTTTGAGGCTGATTTTTTTTTAATTTCCGATTTACCATGTTTTGTTTTGTTTCTTGTGTTCATTCCGTTTATGGATTAATAAAAGAGCGCGGAACAGACGACTATGTGAATAATTACATTATCATATTATTATTATTATTATTATTATTATTATTATTATTATTATTATTATTATTATTAATGGCTGACATTCTGATGTTATTAATCTCTTTTTTAAATGTTCAAGACTTTTTATAGTAGTGACTTGTGTTCATTAGCATTTTATTTCCTAGTTTGCTTCTATCGCTGACTATAGCTGTTATCTTCTATTAGTTATTGAACTTGTCACTTCTAATCGTTTGTTTGAGTGATATTGGTTTAAATACTTCTACCTTGAAATCATAACACCCTGGTCAAGTTGTTTAAAGACTGATCTAATCAAATAAAACAATTCTAAATTCAAAGTTGTACTGTTCTCTATGCTGCTTTGCATGTAAAACCAATATCCGGCCACGTAAAAAATTGGACTAGGGCGTTCCCAAAATAGTACATCGATTCTACTCGCACGTTTCTGGCGAAAAGACATAGTAAGTTATAAGTTGATTCTGCAAGGATAATTACTCACTAGAAGGTCGCATGTGACCATCTTCTGATAGTTTTTTCTTTAAAGTCACCATTCACATTCTCGATTTCATGAAACCAACTTAACGAGCACGAAATCTAGATCCAGGCATTCTTGCCTATAGCCTCCTATCATGTAGCATACTGATTGGTCTAAGCAGTGAATATTTGTTGCAAGGAAGAGCTGATACGACTTCTAGAGACCAGAACCTTGTATTCCATAGTCCACATTTTTGGTTATCTATTGGTATACATGTTTGGACTTTGTTCCATAGTGTCCTGCCAACAATGTGTAGTGTTTTTAGAATGATAATTTTGAAGAAAGCACGTAGCTCCGTCGCACTATTTATTCACATGATAATCAAAATTAGTTTACTATAAATGTATTTATTGCGAAAGCTTCAACTTTCTTTTTTTGCTTCTATCCTTTATTTGTATTTTTCAACACTTAGCAGCTGCTCTGTGCTGAAAGTCCTGTTCTGTATAAATGATCTCAAGTCGGTTGAAATTTCGAATGCTACCACTGAATACAGAATATGAATCATCTTTCCTGAAACGACGTATACCATTCAGATTCGCCTCCTTCAGCGTTCGCACAAAAATGCAAATCGGACATATAATAGGGTTGGGTGATTTTGGAAAGCCTTGACATGGATGTTTGCCGTATATCCAAGACCCACATTTAAGACTTTGATGAAGTCATATGACTTCGTCCTTCATCTGTCGATTCGAAAGACTTGCTTTGCTTGCACTTATCCGGAAACCCTCTGGCATCTCCTTCCGGTTTAACCATCATTGACATCGTACTAAACACCATAGCAGAGACAGAACTGACCCGTTTCATCCCCATCAACAGTCATTTATGTTTTGTTAAATTAAAAAGCTCCATTATAGTGAGGGGAACTTTGTGCGATAAACGATATCTTTTCCTCGTCTCTGCCTAATTCCCAACAGATTGGGGCCCTGATGCAATCATGACTAACCATCGCCATTAGTTAGATAATGTTCTCAAGAAAGCGTTTTAAGCAGATATTTTAATGCTTGTCAGAGATTAGAATGCACAGATTGGGCGGCTCAATTCTTAGCGGAGTCACTCAGGTGACCAATTGTGTCTCAGGTCAGAAAAAAGTGACAGTCTCCTGCAGCTTTTCTTAAACCACAACCTGTTTCTAGCCAGCCCCAGATTTCGGTACAGTCATCGGCATCCTCAGTCAGCAACTTGAACACAGACGTAGATTAGTCACATCGCGATAAGCTACGAATGGTGTAGTTTTCAAGAAGACTAGTACTCCCCTCTTAGTACCTATCTGGTCTCTGATCATGGTACGGTTCGCGCTGAGCTCATCTTGCAATTTAGTTGCCTGAAAACATCGATGGTATTCTGGGAACAAGCTGATGAAAGTAGGTGTGATAGTGTAGATTCATTACACCGGAAAAAAAATCCCAGTCTACAGTAAACAGATGATTCTGACTTACACTGCGATGTTAATCAAGCTATGTAATCCTCAATTAGTCAGTGTATGTACGACATGTACTTTGTACCTTCTGAATGCAGAGTACTTTTACAAGACTGGTGGAAGCCTATATGTACACACTCTTGGTGGTGAGCCGTTAGAAGTATCAGGGAAACTCATGTATCTGGGTAGTTTTGTGAGTGGTGCCGTGACTGATATGATCGATTTACGTATATTGGAAGCTAGATTAGCCTGTTTTAGCCTTTGGCTCCTTTGTGTTAGTTTGGTTGTAAAACGTCGAATTTACAACTTCACGATGAGCTCATTTATGTTCTTGAAACATTTTCTCTTCGTGTTGAGGATGTCCGATCATATTTGTCTCTGAATGATTACTGACATTCGGTGCAATACCGTAATCATAATGCGGAGGTTTGACTATGCTTTTTTAGGGACCAATAATTACCTTATTGGTGCCATTACCTTTAAACACCGGCTTCAGCCGATTGACTATTTGTTATGAATGTAATCCCAGCGTGTTCCATGTCGCACATTAATTCCCAACACTAGGGCTGTGTGGAAACAGCAGTGTGGTAATCGTTCCATGAAGTTGTGTCGTGTTGTGAAGGTAATCCATTTAGGACCAGCATATATTGTCCCATCACTCCGTTTCTGTGATGTAATTCACTGGTTCGAAACTTTATCAGACATAGTTCAGACCAGAAGCCGTTGACATTTCCTTATTTATGTGGTTCATCTTTGCTTTGATGCCCAGTTATTCTAGTGTTTATGTATATCAAATAAATAAATATTAGAATATGTAATTAAATAAAACTGTGTCTACCATTTCATCGACTAATTAATCTAGATAGTTTTGAAAAAGTGTTGAGAAACAAAATATTCATTTGATTAGCAATAATTTACTATAACTTACGTGAACCATTTGAAATGTAACGGATGTGGGTATTTTTTTAAATAACAAATCGCTACATGTAATCTGAATAAAAATCATTCGAACTGATTACTTAGTAACAATAAAAAATTTTACAGTTCATTAGACTTTGAACCGCTTGTCGAAATATGAAACTGAAGTGTTGTACAAAAATGTTCTGATCCATCAGTTTATATTTTATATGTTCATTAATACGATATATTAACTTTGAACAGTGAGCAATGCCATCTTATTCAACATTTAGATTTATATTGTTCCGTGAATTTCGGAAGTCTAGCAAATAAAAAGATAGTAATACAAGTGAAGCTTAGTTAGTTGATGTATAAAAATCATGAGTTACTCATATGGCTTATAGGTGGACTTGAAGTTTTTCAGTCTGTTTAAATATATATCAAATTTAGTGATTTATATGTTTAGTTTAGTCTCTGTGTCTCTCGCTACCTATATTTGAAAAAAATACGAGGAACCACTGCAATTATCACGACACGAATTAAGAAAATCAAGAATGATACAAGTGAAGATTCATTAACCCGAAAATATGAAGACGGCCCTAGTCCAAAATACACTCATTTATATATTGATTGTACACCCATGTTGATTATTAATTAGAATAAAATGAGATATGTGAAAAGTATCCAGAGTTATGGAAAAACGCATGCTACATCACATGTTGAGGATAGTTGATCTCATTCAAATAAATTAATGTTATACCGAATAGAATGTCATATTGGAAACACAGAAAACAAATACTACATTGAATAATCATCATATAGAATTAAAAAATGGAAACAATGTAGAATAAGAATGTAATTTTCCCCTTTATCACATCGGTAACCTATTGCTCCAAGTCCTT